GATTTTAAAATTTTAGAATTCAAACCAATTCAATTTTATATTGGTTTGATTTTGTTTTTTTATCAAATTTGATCAGTTTAGGTCGGATCAATCGAATTGGATCGGATGTGAACACCCCAATAGCAGTAGTAATGTGAACAGCTAATAGACATAAACTTTTATCTGATCTCCAATTAAGGACGCTAGCTATTTTGGTTTTCATCTAGGGTATCTTTGGGTAAAAATTAATAAAGGAAAGGGAAGAGAAGGAAAGAAAAGTTCTTGTTTGGATAGATAAGTAGAGGAAAAGGGAAAATAATATTTTTATTTAATTAAATATTTTTTTTAAAAATAAAATAAAATATATCAATTTTTTTATTTTACAAATTCAATAAATAATTTAAATAAAATATTCTTATATATTTATTTTTTAAAAAATTAAAAAATAATAATAAATTGAAAAAGCAAATTAATTGTAATCTCTTCAAATTAGAGGGATGAAAAATAAAAAAGTAAAGAGTTTTGTGCTTGATCACCTTTCATATCTCTCCCCTTTCATTAATTATGTAATCCAAACAAGGGAAATAACACATCTCCCCTTACCTCGCTCCGCTTCCCTTCCAACCCCCCTAATCCAAACTCATTGCTAAGGTCACCAATTACTCAAGAATTGTGTTACATCATTCAGTCAGCCAGAACTTTTTTTTTGCCTTTATCCTATTTGGATTAAGAAAAGTTGAAGAAATTCCAAATAAAAAAAAAAATAGAGGAGAAGGGAACACTCTTTCTTATTTTGCCTTAATTTCCTTTGCATTTTAATATATTTAAATGAAAAAAAGAAACAAAAGGAAGTTCTTCCGCTTCTCCTCCCATCATTTTCCTCAAATCAAACATTCACCTAATATTTATAACTCGATAATTCAAATGGAAAAAACTTAATTCCCTTTAAATAAGATCTCGAATTTGAATTTTGTGAATAGAGAAATAAATGTTAGAAAAGTTTTCTCCCTTATAAAGTTTGACACGCTTTGATTCCAGATTAGTATGAATCCAATGTAGTTATTAAATACTAAGAGGTTAATACAAAAAAAAAAAAACATTTACATAATATTTACTAACTATTTAAGAATTAAATGCTCATTTTGTAAATCTAAGATAATTTTTATTATAATTTTTTTTTATCTTTGTTGAGTTGTATAATACTTACTCCCTCTGCTCAATTTCTGTAGACTAAGGTTTTTTTAAGGTAAATTAAGAATGAAATAATTTATTGATTAAAACCTTGTATTTATACTTAATTAATCACTGCCTAAATAAGATTTTTTATTTTATCAATATTGTAATTATATTTTTAAAATAAAAGTAAAATATGAATAAAGACATTAAATGACATCTTAAAAAGACAAAGTGAACAATTAAAATTAAATGTCACAAATTAAAAATTAAATCAACTAAAATTGAACAAAGAAAATATATTTCAATTTCAAAAATTAAATCTATTAATGAGCAAGTACTGCAGAACGAAGTATGCAGAGATAACAAGAAGTGGTCTCCTCCAAAGGCCACGAATAATGTTTAAAACCTCTCCACTAGCAGGCACAAGAAATCATGACTATATTAAAAATAAAATAATATAAGCAATAATAAACATATTTCTTTCCAAAATAATAATGTGTTAAATATGAAATAATATGGAATCTCATGCTAGTTAAGTATAAAAAGGTATGATTAAATTCAGAACTATAGGATAAGTATAAAATATAGTCATGTCATGTTAGTCATATCACAAAAATAAGTCTCGTCTCACTATTATTTCAAAACAAATTAAAATCACGCTTAAAATTCTTAGTTTAAAATCAACAATAAAATTATAATTTTATATATCTCACCGTTGTAGGAGAGTAGAAAACACGCAAGAGCGAAGAGCTAGAAAAAGATGGAAGTGATAAAGAACCTAAACAGGATAATCGAGGATCCATACCTAAACTTATACAAATTGAAACATGAAATTACCAAAATGTCCTTATGTCACAAACCACGTCATGACATTGTCACCTGCCACGGCCTAGCACAGCCTGACCTGGCATGGCTCGAGTGCTGCACACATGCGTGCACATGTCCGTGCACTGAGCTGGCACTGCCTTAGGTAACACACCAGGTTTACTAGTGCAGGGACGAGACTTGACTAGCCTCCATCCTTCCATTTTAGTGACCATTGAACCAAGATTCATCATAACATCAGAATTCAAATTCGCAGACTTAACCAAGATTTTCTGCTGCTAAGGGACTAGCGATATATAGCTACAAGAAGATTTTCATTTTAGTCCCAACTTTTATACCCTAGACAGATTGTCCCAATTTATTTTCTTCTCAATTGAGTCCTCCCTTCTCAATTGATTTAATTTCACCTTCCAACTTAAATTTATTTCACATAATTTCTAAAACACCCAAAAAATTTGAGTTATTATAGTTTTGAAAAGACAAAAATAACCCTTAATAGGAGTGCTATGTGTACACAGGACTTCACTGAAGTCCTGATCCCTTCCTCTTTTTTCTTTTTTTTTTTTCTTCTTTTTGAATTTTTTTAAAGAGAAAATGCAATTGGGGCTAACATGGTTTGAGTGCAAGTTTAGTACAGCTAGGATTTTCCTACCCTTATTAAAGGTTTGTTTGGGTTAACTTATAAGAGTTTTTTTTTTTTTTTTTATATTGTTCATGAGTGATAAGTTTAAATTTTTATTGAAAAAAAATTTAAAAATTAATTTTAAAAATTACTTTTTAACATGGTTTGAGTGCAAGTTTAGTACAGCTAGGATTTTCCTACCCTTATTAAAGGTTTGTTTGGGTTAATTTGTAAGAGTTTT